ACGATCAAAAACACTGCCAACAAATACATATGTCCGAATGATAAACTGCAAAGCAATATTCGTCCCATACCGTAAACAATTTGTATGCTTCAAGTTTTGTGTAAAAACGCAAGGCCGCACTAACAAGTCTGGTGTTCGCCGCTGTTAATGCATTTCTGGACTGCACTGCTCAGATGCGTAGAGGTAAAAGCGCGCAAACAAGATATTTCATGGCGGGTTTTTAGGAATGTAAAAACACTCCTACATTTCAGCATAATTTGAGATGAACTCTTACATTAAAGAATTTTTCTCGAAGTTGTTCTGTTTCAACAGCTATGAATGCCTCTTGATTTTCGATTTTCGGCCGTATTATTTCCCAGCGCGAATCCGGTTCCACTGGCGGAACCAAATTTCGTAAGATATTACGAAAATTGGTTTCATGTCGCCTCCTCTGAAAATTTGTAGATCACGCGGGCAGGCAATTAAAGGCGCGGTTTTTATTCGTCATGAGCATTTCTGAAAAGATCCTAACCTTTCGTGCCTCTTCGCGCTCTTGTTCTTTTTCTTTAGCTTCAGCCTTTTCCACCAGCGAATTATAGCAAAGCTTCATGTTGCCCGGGTCAACACTTTTGCCTCTTTCATTGGACAGTACCCATTTACAGAGCTGATCGAATGATGTTCCAACTTCCACAGTCGTATTCAATTCCTAGAATAATTATGAGATCATAGTGTACGGAAAACAGCTAGAAGATTATTCTCCACGGGGAAATAGAAATAAACTATGAATGGAATTAAGGATTTTACCTTTAAAATTTCTTTGATCACTCGCCGGTCTTGTCCATATTGACTTTTTAGATCCTCTACGTAAAACTTGAACAGATCAAGCGGTGTACTACCAGACTGCTTTAACATAGCATCGAAACGAGGATCGGCCGAGATTACAGGATACAGCTCACTCCACAGCGACATTGAAGTCAGTTCGCCTGCAAATGAGTCGCAGATAAGCCAAATTAAAAGTCAAAATCACAATAAACATAAAAAAAAAACGTAAGATCTGGTTAAACACACCCACTTAAGTGGATTCTACCGAAAAACTCCGAAGCAAAATTCCAACATAATATAACCTCTTTTATGCAACTCCACTAAGTAAGCCTGAAAGGCTTCTCGTATTTTTCGTTCCTGTCTTCGTCTTCGGCGCTCCTCCATATCTTTCTCCTTCAAATAATGCTTTTCTGCGGTGCGAATGTGCTCCTCGAAGACGATTAGTGCGTCTTCTTTGTCCATATCTTAAACAAAAATAGCATGATAAACGGGGGCTGCATGCGCTCTCAGTCCAACAGTTTTTCGACATATATTGAAAAACACATCTTATACCATTGAAACCTTTTCGTTTTGCTGCTTAACTGTCAAAAGCTAAATCGTTCTATCCATCTGTCGCTCTGGGCATTCATTATGGTACCAGTTATTAACTCCAGACACATTTATTTCTGTAGATGAGTGGGGGAAGTCCTTAAGTAAAAGAACCAACACACCGTGTAAGTCGAAGGTGGAAGAAATACAACATATTTAACGCCTCGCCGGAACAAAAAATAAATGGTAGCTCACCGAATGCCGGTGCGAAGACGTGTTTTTTGCATAGTTCCCCGCACATTTTTGTCGCTAACGGCACTGTTTTCTCCGTCATATGCTTTTAGCTAAAAGAACTGAGACCACTAACCATGACTGCCAGAAAACATTCTCTTAAATTCCAGCTCTCTAGCTTCCCTAATCTCCGAGTTAGTAACTTAGCCGCCAAGAATTTTCACGAACCCGTATGCGAGAATCACGCAAACCTGGAGCTGAATTTAAAGTCACTAGATTGTACGTGGACGGGGGATATTCTCTTAAAATTTCAGCTTTTAGCTTTCTTGGTTCCCGAGTTAGTAACCACCCGAAAAGAAAGCCTCTACCGGCACGCACGTAGGAACCACGTACACCCGGAGGCTGGTTTTGAGCTCATTAATACCCATGCTGACGAGGAACATCCCCTTAAAATCCCAGTCTTCTAGTCCCTCAGATTCCCGATTTAGCAAATTGTTCGAAAAAAACTTTCACGAGCTCGTACGTGGGAACCACGCACAATCGTTGGCTCGGTTTGAACTCATTAATACCCACTTTTTCTGCATTGCATAGATGCAAAAAACGCATTAAAAAAAGTGCCGAAATAACTCTTAGAATAAAAATTAGGTGACACAGCTTTGGACAGAGCCGACATCAAATACATTACAATGAAATGACGGCGGATCACTTATCAGAAATCCATTAACAGATTACTCTCAAGAAACTGACATCTCGAGCGCAATTTCTAAGGATAACTCACCTTGCAGGGTGCTGTCATCAGCGAATGCTGGATTTTCGATCAGAAGACGCTGTGCCTGCGCCCACGTTGTCCGATAGGTGATCTCTTGCATGCCATCTAAGATATCTGCCAAAGCCTGTACATTCCTTCGACGCAGCTCTTTTGCATTTTCCTTCTCACGTTTATCAATAAATTCCTGCAAAATGCTACTTTAATGGCCTAAAGCAATTATGTGGGTAACCAAAAAAAAGGACAAAATCCTGAAAAAAAAACAAGTTAGTGCTGACCAGTGCATCGGCAAAAATTTCCTTCCTCTCGCTTTCGTGAACAGCTTTCCACACCAGTTCGTCGCCGAACAGCGACTCTGCTTTCGAGTAACGCATTGTTGGCCGAACTTTTGGATTATTTTGCAACCAGTGCTCCAAATCTTCCTTTGCT